TATAACCTCTATAACCCTATAACTTCTTATAACCCCTCATAACCCTTCATAGCCCCTTTAAAATCTTGTAGAACCCCTTTATAGCCCCTTAAAGCCCTTTATAACCCCTATAACCCCTATAACCCTTATAGCCCCTATAACGCCTACACCCCCTATAACCTCTTATAACCCCTTAACCCCTATAACCCGTGTAACCCGTACAACCCGTATAGCCCTTATAACCCTTAGAACCCGTATAACCATTATAACCAGCATAACCTCTATAACCCCTATAACCCTATAGCCCTATAGATCCCCTAGAACCCATATAACCCCTTATAACCCCTATAACCCTATGACCCCTATAACCCCTACAACCCTTATAACCCCTATAACCCTATAGCCCCTATAAAACCCTTATAACCCCTTATAACCCGTGTAACCCGTATAACCCGTATAACCTTTATAACCCTCAGAACCCGTATAACCACTATAACCAGTATAACCTCTATAACCCCTTATAACCCTATAACCCCATATAACCGTATAACCCTATAACCCGTATAACCTCTATAACCCTTATAACCCTTATAACCCTATAACCGTTATAACACCTATAACCCATATAACCTTTATAACCCTTATAACCCCTATAACCCCTATAACCCCTTTTATAACCCATTTAAACACCTTTATAACCCCTTATAACCTTTCAAACCCCTTAGAACCCCTATAACCCTATAACCCTTATAACCCCTATAACCCCTATAATCCCTATAACCCTTTATATGACCCCGTATAACCCCTTGTAACCCCTTGTAACCTTTTATCACCCCTTATAACCCCTTATAACCCCTTATAACCCCTATAACCCTATAGCCCCATAGCCCCATATAACCCTATAGCCCCTAGAACCCCTAGAATCCTTATAACCCCTATAACCCCTTATAACCCCGATAACCCGTATAACCCCTATAACGCCTATAGCCTTCATAACGACTATAACCCTATAAGAATACAGCGACAGCGCCGGCGCCGCCGCCGCCGCCGCTGGCCCCTCCAGCAGGCTGCCGCGGACCCTGGGCGCGTGCCGCGCGGGCGTCAAGCAGCCCCTTGGGTGCGCGCGCGCTACGATGCTTTCCATTCAGCCGATGCCGATGGCAACCCGGAGGCCGCGGCCAGTTCCGCTGCAGGTCATCGTCGGTTTTCTTTGATGTCATCGTCGGTATACTCGCCTTAGGGGGGGGGGATTGAGAAGGAGGGGGGGGCAGGATACAGCTTCGGCTTTTTTTGGTCTCCCAGGGGCGATAGGGGCGCAGACAAACATTACATCGCATGCCTTTCCCTGGGCTTGAGACCCCAAGGTTTTGCAGAAAACCTTGGGGTCTCAAACCTAAGGGTGAACGACAATTTCCTCACGAAAATAATGCCCGTGGGAGCCTTAAATTGCCGCCTGATGGGGCCGTCGTCCCATTGTCGTCCTCGTCGTCGTCGGTCGTCGTCGTCTGGCGTCCTCGTCGTCGTCGTTGTCGTTGTCGTCGTCGTCCTACTCGTCGTCGCAAAGGCGAGAACCCCTATGGATGGGCCCGCGGCTCCTTCTACAACGTCTGGTACTCGGGAGGGAGCCAACCAGGACAACCGCGCGAAATCCAGCACATCGAGGCGTTGGCTGCTGATGTGTTCCAGGCGCTGACCAGCCACAACCTGGGGAGCAGTGATCGTTGAACCCTTGCGGGGCCCGTGTGCTTCGACGGCCCCCCGCGGGGCCTCGTCGAAGCGATGGTTTCCTCGTGGGGACCAGGAACATAGCTCTCCCGTCTGAGTCTGGTTCGGAGGGGTGCTGTTGCGAGAGCTTCTCGGTCAAGTCGTACAACTTCTCCAAGGTCTTGGATCCTCTACCCTCAATCCACCCCCAGCTGGATCCCTGCCTTGGTGAACCCATCACGGAAACAATGGCCCCGCTTTTCTTATGCATGCGGCGGCGGGGTGAGGTGGGGGAGGCGGAGGAGGAAGCGTCGAGTCTCACCCTGCAGGTCACTGAGTGGGAGCCCGCGGGGCGCGGGCCGCCACCGCCAGCGGGGGGCGGGCCGCCTCCGCCAGCAGGGGGCGGGCCCCCGCGCCCACCGCGGGTTGCTGCGCTGACGCCGCCAGAGCGCGAACTGATCGAAGCCAACAGCGACGGCGCGGACTCCTCAAACTCGCCATCGAACGAATCGAGCTCGTGGCAGCCGCCGCCGACGCGCCGCGCGGCGAAGCGCGCGGCGCGGGTGGCGCGGCGTTAGGGGCTGTGCGCAGCGAAGGCTATGCGTAGCGAGCGGTGTGTTCCAAATGTAGATAGAGCGACAATTGAGCATGGTCCTCCTCTTTCCCGCATCCGTTGCGCACCGTGATCGGGTACAGTGCGAACCTCGCTAAGGTGGCCGCGTGGTGGCGACCTCGATTATGGGAACCTCGATGTCTCTGCTTCGTGACCAAGTGGGGGGTGCCCCCCGTTATTGCTGCTGGTGCTGGTTGGGGGGATTGTTTTGTTTCTCGCCCCCTTCCGCCCCCAGGGGGGACGAGGGGGAGGAGGAGGAGGGGGGGGGGAGGGGGGGGAGGAGGAGGAGGAGGAGGAGGAAGACGAGAGGGGCCTCACACAGGGATCGTTTGGAAAGTGCTACGCACCTTTGGAGAGCGCGCCAGAGGGACTCTGCGGGCAAAGCCTTACAGCCGGAATCCGGTGGGAAGGGATCTGAAAGACTGCGCCGCAAGGCCTCACAACAGACATCCTTTGACAAACACAAGCGAATTTGTATTGGAGCGCTCGCAACAGGAACCATGCTGAAGACACCCCACATGGTTCCTATGGCCTCGCAACAGGATTCCGCCCTGAACCATTGCGCACAGGATCGTACGGTAAAGCATCATAAACGATACCGCTTAGAAGCCATTGCTTAGTGTTTCTTTTGGGAATCATCACAAGAGGAATCGATTGAAATGCCTCGGGCTTGGAACACTGTGCGAAGTGCTACACAGGGGTTCCATTGCATGAAATCACATTAGGAATCCTGTTGTAAAGCGTTGGCAAAGAACACGCGTTCTGTTAGAAACAATCATACTTGGAATACTTTGGAAAGTGCCCCAGAGGGATTATGTGGCAACAGACAATTGGAACCCTTTCAGAAGGATTATATCATTTTTTTTTTCTTCGGACGGCCTCGCAATATAGATCCCCTGGACTTTACAGCGAAGGGATTATACAGGAGCGCTTCGCAACAGGAGTTCTTCGGAAAACCAGATAGGGAGTCTATCGGAAGCCTCACAACAGGAATCCTTTGGAAAGCAGCACGAAGGGCTTCTATTGGAACGCACCACAAGATGGAACATTTGGAAAACGCTACGACGGGCTCCTGTTGGAAAGCGCCACAAACATAATCCAGTGGAAAACACTACACAGGGATTCGTCATAATTGGAAAACGGCACTCAGGGGTTCTCATTGGAAAGCCGGCACAAAAAAAAAATAGCCCATCGGAAAGCACCACCGAGGGATTCGATGATAAAGTTCCACACCATAGCACCGGTTTGAAAGCGCCATTGAGGATTCTTTTTGGAAAACAGCACGCAAAGGAATCCATCAGAAAACCGCACAACAGGGATTGAATCGTGAATCCTCGCACCAGGAATCTTTCGGATAGCGCCGCAGAGGGATTCTATGGGAAAGCTCCACGACAGAATTCCGTCGGAAAACACCACGCAGAGTTTTTTTAAATGCCTGGCAAGAAGGTTAGGTTCCTTTGGGAAACACCATGAAGGGATTCTACAGGAAATCCTCACAATGGGAATCCTTTGGAACGCATCATACCAGGAATCCCTTGGAAAACACCGCAAGGAGATTGTATTGGGAAGCGTCACAGACATAACCCGTTGGAAAGCGCCGAAAAGATTCTTTTATGAAAGCCTCACAACAGGAAACTTTTTGGAAAAGACCACAACACCATTCTCTTGGAAACCGTTACAGTGGGAATCCAGTGGGATGCACCACAGAGGGATTTGATGGGAAAACTCAACACCAGAGCACCGATTTGAAAGCACCACTGGTTGCTCCTATGGGGAGACCGCGCAAAAAAGGAATCCGTCGGAAAGCACCACAGAGGGATTCAATTGGGAAGCCTCGCGCCAGGAATCCTGTGGATAGCGCCGCAGAGGGATTCTATGGGAAAGCTCCGCGACAGAATTCCGTCGGATAACACCACGCAGAATTTCTTTTGGAATGCCTGGCAAGAAGGTTCCTTTGGGAAGCGCCACAAAAGGGATTCCACGGGAAATCAGAGTGGAAATCTTTTGGAACGCGCCGCAAAGGGGCTCCTATTGGAAAGCATCACAGCAATAACCCTTTAGAAAACACCAGAAGGATAATCTATGGGGAAACATCACAGGTAGGTTCGTGTACACTGCGCTGCGCCAGTTGCTACCGTTCGTGTGCAGTTCCGCATTCCTTTTTTTCATTGTGCATTGCGATCGAGACAGGGATCCCTGCACGAAAAAAAGCAGACCCCAAGTGGATCATCGACGTCGCCCTGTTGCGCTCGCTTGATGCCAGCTCATCACCCTGCGCTCTTGCCTTGCACCATGCCATCGTGACTTTCTGTCGATGGGGACAAAACGAACAAACCTTCAAAAACAATGGGTCAGGGGATAGGCCAGCGCCCCTTCACGTGTCCCACGCCACCCCTGGAGTTCAGAGCGCCCGATCTGGGTGCGGCAAATTGCTGGTTGTGGGCTCCCCCCTTTTCGCGCAGGCAGAAACCAGGATCATAACATTGCATACTTGAAAGTGAAACTGATGCTGGTTGCAGCACGCTTCGGCCTATAGCGTGGTGGCCCCACAAGAGGGGTGGGCGGATTTTGGGAATTCATTTTTAATGAGCATGGACTAGATCCTACAGGCACATACCATGGTGATTCCGATCTCCAGCTCGAGCGCATCAGCGTCTACTACAATGAGGCAACAGGGGGCCGTTATGTCCCTCGTGCTGTTCTGATGGATTTGGAGCCAGGCACCGTGGGCAGCGTCCGCGCTGGACCTTTTGGCCAGCTCTTCCGCCCAGACGACTTGGAATTTGGCGAGGGGGCTGACGAGGCAGAGGCCACGGCGGGCAGGCAGAGGGGTGGAAGCAACACCCCTGGGCGGGCCCAGAGCCCAGGAGCCGGCCGCGCGGCGATGGAGCCGATCTGGTGCCACAACTGCGGCTCCGGCGACATGGCGTGGGGCGCGGCGCGCCAGGCGGCCGAGGCAGGCGTGGCGGCGGTCATCCTGCAGGAGCACATGCTGCTGGGCAAGAAACCGGCAAGTTTCGTCCGCTACTGCGACAAGCTCGGCTACCGTGCCTTCGTCCAGGATGCGGCGCCGAAGGCGGGCGAGAAGGGCTGCCGGGGTGGCGCCGCGACGCTGGTGTCGAAACGGCTCCGCTCGGCAACGCTGCACGCGTGGAGCGACAAGGACTGTTTTTTCCAGCTTGTCACGGCAGGCCCCCTTCACCTGGGCAATGCCTACATCCCGCCGTCGGAGGACAGGGCGGCGTGTTTGGCAGAGATCGCCCAAGTCCTGGCCAGCCTCTGCCCGGTCCGGTGGCTGATCAGCGGTGACTGGAACGACGTCCCGGCCGAGAATGCGCTCGCGCTCCTCCTTGAAGAGCGCGGCGGCGAGGTGGTGGCCGCGCGGGGCGCGCAGGGGAACGAGGTCGCGACAAGGTGGAGAGGCACCAGGTGCGCCGACAATTTCCTTGCGAACTGCGGCGAGGCGCGGGCGGAGGGCTTTGCAGACGCCACCTCCTCGGACCACAAGGTGGTGCGCACGGCGGTCGCCTTCAGAACGCGCTCGGCCAGGCAAGGGGTTACCGACGGAATGCTCAGGAAGCGGCAGCGCACGGTGGACTTGGCTCGCCCAGCGGAGGTGCCCGAGCGCGTCTGGTAACAGCTGGTGGTGAGGCATTGGCGCCAGTGCACGCCGATGCCGGTGCCCTCCCAGCGCCCGGGCGCCGGGCAGGAGGCCGCGGTGGTCGACCGCCTGCGGTGCTCCACCATGATCGCATTGGAAGGGGCCCTCCGGGGCGCGCGCCGGGAGCTGTATCGCAGGGAGGGCAAAGATCCGGCCTTGGAGGACCTGGGCTGGGGGCGGTCGAAGATGCGCCAGCACTTGGTGCAACCGCAGGACAGGGCGTCGCATGACTTCGGCACCGAGAGCGGGCGCGCGATCCTTGCCCAGGCCACCCAGGTCACTCGGCTGAAGCATCTGGGATGGCTGGAGGCGCGCGGCCAGAGTGCGAGCGAGGAGGCGCGCAGGCTGCGGCAGCTACTTTGGACCGAGGAGGAAACCGGGGCAGGGCGCCGGAGCCCCCAGGGGGACACCGAGGCGGCGGCGGAGCGCCTGTTGGAAGAGATGCGCCAGGACGCATTCCAAACGCGCCTGCGCGACTGGCGGGCCAAGATGAGGGACAACCAGACGGCTGCGTGGCAATAGGTGAGAGACGCCTGGCTACGGCCCCTCACCAGCGTCTACTCGGAACACGTGCGCAAGGGGTGCGCCACGAGTACCATGCAGGAGACCTTGGAGTGCCTGCAGGCCCGCTGGATGGTGGTTTGGGACAGGGAGCGACAACGGCCGGACGAGGTCGTGGACGCCCTCGCGGAGGTGCTCCCCGCGGTGCAGCCAGCCTGGATCGAGGCAGTCAACGCTGCGCAGCTGCGCGACGCGGCCCAGCGGCAGCGAGGGGCCGCGTGCGGCGCGGACGGCTCGAGCGGCACGGAGCTTGCAGACCTGCCGCTGGAGATCTGGCGCCACCTGGCGCGGGTGCTGCGCTACGTCGAGGAGGCGGGCGCCCCCCCGGAAGCCTGGGCCCGGGCCAGGGCCGTGTTCCTGCCCAGGAAGGCAAAGGGGTCCGGGCGGACGGCTCGGTGGACTGCGCCACCCTCCGGCCGATCACCGTCCTCAGCTCGTGGCGGCGGCTATGGGGGTCGGCAAGGATGCGCACCTGGGGCACGCAGCAGTGGTTGTCGACCTCGTGGCCGCAGGAGGCGTGCGGAGGCAGGCCCGGCATGGAGGTCGCGGACACTTTCCTCCCGCTGCTGGAGGACTTCGAGGGCGGCGCTTTCCTCGCCTCCTTCGACTACTCGCTGGCTTTCGATCTTGCAGATCCGGCCGTCGTGGAAAGACTCTTTGGCCACTTGGGCTTGCCAGCCTCGGTGGACAGGCTCGTCGCCGGAGTCTGGCAGCACCATGAAACGATGGGTGGAGGTACAGGGGCACGTGCACAATGCCCCCTGCGAGGTGACCTCCTCCATGCCCCAGGGAGGCTGCTGGAGCGTCATGGGTATGAACGCCCTGCTGGCAGGGCCCGTGGTGGACCTCAAGGCCCGGTTCCCCCAGGCGCGACAGGGCACCTGGGTGGGCGACAGGAGCTGGACGACACCCGCGGCACGCATGGCAGCAGCGCTCGGGGCTGCCCGGCGGTGGTGGAGCGCCACCCTCGGACTGAAGGAAAATGGGAGCAAGGAGCAATTCTCCCACCGCACGGCCGAGGGCAGGAGGGCCCTGGGGCAGCAGGCAGGCGTGGGGAGGCACGAGTTTACGGCACAAGCGTGGGGCCACCTAGAAACACTGACCACAAACTTGTGTTCCTCATACAAACGCTGTCGCAGACGACTATGCGCGATTACAGCAAAATCGAAACTTTTATGACGCTTCGCGCGTCGCCCAGAAACATCGCATGCGTTGCGCGTTGCGTGTCGTTGTTGCGTTGCGGTCGAAATGGCGCGGACGCGTCGCGCTTGCGCCATGGAGCGCCGCGTGCGATCGTGCTCTGCAAAAGCTCAGGCCGTGCTAGCGGCCCCTGCGATTTACCAGAGCGCGCCGATGCGTTTCGCCGCAACAACGGTGCGAGCGACGGCGCCCAAACATGATCGTGCGACGGGCGCAGAGTCGCTTGATAGGGTTGTCGGAGAGCTGACTCCGAATTTCAGCGCGGAGCGGGGGTAGAGCATTGTAGAATGCATATGGGGGATGATGAAGCGGAACGGGGTAAAGTAGCACACAGTAGATGAGTAGCGTAGATTAGGCGTAACGTAGGACTTCGTAGGAGTAGGTCATAATAGTTTGGGGAAATATTAGGTCTCATTTGTAGGAGGAAAGAAAGAGTGCCTGTCAGGGTATAGGCTAGAATAGGGTAGCATACAACTTCAACGCGCCTGACGAGCCATGCTGCTCAGTGGATTATAAGCGCGCGGCTGGTGGCCCAAGAGGCCCCCGAGGCATTCTCATGGGGCTTGTCTGGGGACTCAAAGGGCTCCTCAGGGGCTGTTAGGAGGTCTTGGGGGAAACGTGTCTGGGAAACAAAAAGGCCCCGAAGGACCTCCCAATGGGGCTAGGCAAGGCCGTCACGAGGCACTCTGGGGAGGGGTCTTTGTCGTGCGTCGAAAACCCTGCCAGAGGTGCGTTCTGATCAGGATTTCGAGATTATTCGAGCCCTGGCCACGAGAGATTCGGAGAGCCTTCAAGGGATCCAACAACCTTGAGATACATATCCAACACCGCCAAACAATACATAGCAGTTCGGCCCAGCAGGTCGGCTTTTTTTCACACACACTCAATGAAGTTGTTTTGATGTCCATTGATGGGGACTCCGTTCGGCCTGCAGAGCTTCACACAGACAGTGATGTGGATGGGCCAGACTCTGTCGCAGCATGCCCGCCTCCAGTGACAGAACGCATCGCCTGTGGGCCGCTTGTGTGTTATCTGATTGTTGCCACCCCTGGTGGGATGTGGAGTAGGTTATTTCGAAAAGATGAGATCGACGCGATGGGAGCTCCACTAACGAAGCCTCATGTTGTAGGGGCTGTGCTGGGTCAGTGGATGCACGTTCCAGAGTTCCCGCGTGATCTTTCGACGGAGGAGTCCAGGATGCTATACTCAGCCATTAGACGCGGAAGGGGACACCAATTCCCCTTGCTATGTTATCGTGTGACCGTGCGCTTTTCCTTCCATGACATTGCAGATTATAGCGGTCAAGATGTGGTTCAGCTGTTTTCTGAGATCTCTGGGAACCTCGGAGTCGAAGGTGACGACCCCGACGACTGGCCAGAGCAATTCATTATTGTATTTCGCCGTTGGCGTGGAGAGATCAACGGCGGCAAAACATTACCAGTGGTGGTTGTCGAGCTCGGTCTGCACATGGCGTTGGCGACAGTTGCACATATTACGTTCTTTCATGCCGTGGTGCTCGGTTGGCGACTTTCTCGGAGGCACGTGTTGGGCGATTTACCTTCGGCATGGCAGGTCAGGCGTCTCATGAGCAGATTCGGACCGTTCGACTGTGCACGGCTGGAGGCTTCACTCGTGAACTCATCATCGCTTGTCGAGCCCCACTCCCAGAGCAAGCCGTTCAATGTAATTCTTGATTGGATCGATGCGACGCGGGACCCCAAACAGATTCGAATGAAAGATGCAGCATGCAAGAAATGGAATGTGCTAATCAGCCGTGCCAGGCAACTTGATGCCGTGCCATTGGAGGAGACAGTTGGATACAATGTGCTGAGGTTCGGGCGCATACGGCTCGACTGCATGGCCATGTCTTTGTGCAGGAGACGGTTCAGAGCATTCGCGAATCATGATTATAACATCCATCTGCACAGCGATGGGTCGCCGCAGTGGGCTGGGGTGGAGCTGTTCGCATCGTCGTTCGATCTAATATTGCGTGACCCTGGTGGCAGCGGCATGTTTACCTTGGAGAGGCGGCTGTTCCCAATGATTAACATCGGCATGGCAATGTTCACAACGCTTGGGAAAGTGTTTGCTCTTCTCTGGCAGGTGTTCTTGCTGGCTGGGTCGCGCTTCGAGGACGCCCGAACGTTTCTAAGTCGCGTGAGGTCCCTCATGGTAGATTTCGGAGTTGAGCGGCTGCTGGCGGACCACGAGGACATGCTGCCACGGTCCTTCAGGACAATCGGCGGACACATCCCAGCGAGAGCGATGCAGCTCTCCAACCTTATGCCTCGGTGTCTTCTGGCGCCAGGTTGGCGGCATACGATGGATCGTGTCATCAGGCGCGCGTGTACATCATTGCAGTTCTTCCCAGACTTCCTGAGGAAAGTGCAGTCCCTGAACTCGTTCATCAGGAACTACAGGAGCGACTTGGAGAATAACCTGAGAAATGGTGGTGCCGTCGGAGCTGCAGATCTTGTGAAGGCAGCTTCCCTACCTTACTTTGCCGAGTGGAGGTGGGGTACTTTGCATTGCGTGCTACGGGCTTTGTCTGGTATATTCACATCGCTTCAAGGTGCGGCTGACCTCTCGCCATTCTATCGGAGAGGCCGCGGCACCAACATGGTCCGAGACGTGCAGGCGGCGTTCACAGAACCAAGTTTTGGCTTCAGGATGGGCTTCATGGTGTGGATGACAGAATGGCTTACGAGGATGCAAAACGCAGCGAGGTGGTGCCCATGTCATTTGGAGGAGTGCAAGACTGGAGACTGCCCGAAGTGCCCAATGTCTGGACGGATATTGACAATCATTGCAGATATACGAGAGTGGTTTGTGAATCAGGCCATCGCCGACATGGAGCAGTGGACTGAGAATACTTTCGGAGGCGATCAGGACTTTCTACGGCAACTGCAAGGGTCTGTTCGCTGGGCGCGCGGTCTCATCCTGGACGTCACCAAGTTTGCAGACTGCGTGCCGTACTTATTCAGCAGGGTTGGCGAGAGCGGCATCAAGGACGAGTGCGTGCGACAGTACCATCTTCAAGGCCATGACCAGCATCATAGGGTGACTCAACTGTTCATGGATCCAGCTGGCCATCTTAGGATAGCTTTGGACAAGGTCGAGGATGGCAGCGTCATCGAGGATGCGTACCTCAAGTCGGAGGTCGATTCCATTGCCAACATCAGCCTCGACGACAACATTAACGAGGGCCCCCACTCCACCGTGAAGCACCATATGAGCAGAGCTCGTGGAGGGACCTGGGCGTGGACTGCCTCGAGCGTGCGACTCGACCAGAACCTCGCAGATATTGCGAATTCTCCTGTGTCAGAATCGGACAAGCAAGAACTGTGGAACACGTATTCTTCTATATTGCAGGTCTCGGTCAAGAAGTTTGGGCGGACAATGAGATGCAAGAAAGATGTCTTCGTCGATCGGCTCTACTTCCTGCGAAGCGGGTTCGGCGACTTCGATGGCGAGTGCGACGCCGACGATGAGGGTGGCGGCGCCAGCCCCGACGTCGACGACATCGACGGCGACGGAGGCGGCCCGCCAGACAGGGCGCGCAAGCGCCGACGCTCAGCGCTGGCAGCCAGCGGCCACGCCGGCAAGATGGAGGCGAAATTGTTCAAGGCACAGGTTGAGACAGCATTGCTTGTGCGAGAGTGGCTCCTGGCTGCGGTGAAGCAGTATGACTACATTAGCTTGTGGACGGTGAGCGCCCAAGGTGGTAAGGAGATGGTTGTCGTGCAGGTGCTCAGCGTGAACGTGAATCTCATGACAGTTCCGACGGTCGAGTCCGACAGGTTGCAGGACTTTGGCTTGCGGGCGTGCGTGCAGGAGTTCGAGGTCTGGAGGTCGCAGGCTGTCAACCGCGACACCGAGAGCTTGGACGTGTTCGTGGGCCCACCTCCTGGCCACGTCGATTTGCTCGCCATGCTAGGGACAGCTCCAGAAGATAGGCAAGCGATGTGTTCTTGGAGATCTGGCCTTTCGGACGTGGACGGGTGCATGCTGCTGTTCGATCGTCGGCCCGTGGCCCCGCAGATGGCGCTCATGGATGCTTCGTGCCCCGTGCTGTGCTTGGCGGAGGACGCCTAGCGCTTCGCGGGGGAGGGCGCCAGGGGGGAGGAGGAGGACGACGAGGAGGATGGGGGACTAGGACGGTGAC